AAGGACCAAAAGATTCCATTCTGCCAGCCTGGGACGGGACTCCGGTTCTAAGGTGACGTGCGAAGGGTGCCGGACAAAGCTGCTGTTACTCTACGGACCATTTTGGGGGGTGCTCTGGTGCCTTGGGCTGGTTAATTGTCTTGCGATGGACTGACCTCTCATCATGGTCACGACCAACCGTTTGGTCCCGCCACCGGCGGCCTAGGGCCTTGGCTGAACATGGACGTCGGGATTCGCTCGCGAGGTCCGGGCCGAATGAAAAACCACTCTTCGGATCCTAGGGAGGCCTGCACTCCGGCGGATTCCGTCGACGGTGGTGGAAGGCTTTGCGGAAGAACCTGCGAAAAGCGGTCGGAGTCTTGCAGGTGAGTGGACAAAAGGTCGCGTATCTCTACATAGCTCTGCTTTTAGACCCGTTCTGCAAACGGGCTATGATTCAGATTTAATATATATTATATATATATATAGTTGTGATGCTACTGTTGGACTTGGCCAGCTGTTTTGCACCCTCAAGGCATGCACTTATGAATATTTTTGGGTGCCCAAGCTTTCATGTGTTACTGTTATTGATGTTTCTTCATTTTTCACGCAACATTGACACGATGTGCCCTTTCGGAACGGCCTCTATCAAGATCCGTAGGTCCTACTTGTATGACTTTTTTGTGGGGTGTGATTTTTCGTGACGAGGATTGCACCAGGGCAAGGTTTGTTTTTTCAATACAGCCTGGTTGATGAGAATGACGTTCCCTTGTTTGCAGGGAGGTGAAATTGCAAAAGTGCAGGACAACTTTCATCAGTTGCCCCGAGCATTTGCATGGACGCAGATGTTGCTACGACTTGCAACGCTATATATATATATATGTATGAATGAGCACACAGCCATGTACTATATATTACACATATGTATACATGTATACTATATAGGTTTATTTTTTCCTGGTTACCCTTTGCCCGTGTTGAGCTCTAAAAGGTGTAGCATCGCTGATCTGACCGATGGTGCAGGCAGATCCGACAGATGCAGGGCGCGGAACTCACCCAGCCGATCGAAGTGACACTCCCTGAAATGATCATGAAAGTGGAAAACCCACCCTCGTTGGTATAGGGAAGAATGGTCATCTAAGAGGCCATTTGCCACTTCCATGCTCATCTGCAGGGAGTGTATGTCACGATGTGTGTGGAACTTGCTGAGATCTCTTTGAAGCCTGGACACTACATGATACTTCTCGCCAATTGTTGGGCAGATGTTGCTTCATCAGTACAGTAATGGCCTGTTTTGAAATGTTTTGAATGAGAACCTCAGTCCCCTAAGCATGCCTGCTTTGATCATTTTGGCTGTGGTCAAGTCAATGGGCTCTCGTGTCAGGCGCATTATTTCACCTTTTTTTGAATGGAGGTGAGCGTAGTACCAGGTGAAGTGCCAGAACAATGGAGTGTCAAAACATAGAATTTTGATACGAATCCTCCAATTACTTGTAGGGCGCTTTGTACCCTATGGTGTCGAGGCTGGGGCTTTGTGCCACACTTTTCTTTTCCCAGTAGGGGTGCCTAATGTTTAATAGATCTACTTGGGTGCTCTTCCTGCGTCCGTTGGCATTCACTAGGCCAGAAGATGGAGTGTCGCAGAATGCCAGTGGCCAGTGGGAGGTGAGCATAGCCTGAGAGACTCTTGACCGACAAATCAGAATTTGCCAGATGACTTTTGGCTCTGACATGTGGGCTCAAGCAAAAGCAGTTCCAGAAACTACGTGATTCATGTTTTTTTTTTTTTTTTTCCGGTGGTTGCTTGTCAAAGATGAGTTTCAAGTGCCTGAGTGCCTGAGTGCTAGTAGCGAGTATATACCAGGTCCTTATTGCTACCCCGGCCCACCTCCCAGGTGAAGTTGACACACATCACAACCAGAGCTGTATAGCAACGATGGGTGGGAAGGCCACCGCAGGTTCCTTCGTTTGTTGCGCAGGCTGCATGAACCGGAGTGCCTGGTCCAATTCACTCAAGAATCCTCCCAAAAGCACCGAACGTGGGCCCGTGGGTCCTCTTCCTAACCGCCCTGCACCGGTCCTTCCAATGTGGAACACGTCGGCGCCATGGAGCCTGATCGGATGGAGGGACGCTGGAGGAACGATCTTCAGCGTCCATCGACATGTCCAGGACACTCAGCCTTTCGGTTGGGCCTGGCAGAGACGACCAAGGACTCGCAGAAGGACCTCTTTCCAATGGCAGACCTCATCTTTGGATTGCAAAGATTGAGAGCAAAAAGGAGAAGTGAGAGAAGGTGCCTGCCAAATAAGTCTGATTGAACATGATTGGCAGAGATCAATGGATCATTTGCCCAGTGTGCTATGTGCAGTTTGCCGCAGGTTTTGTTGAAACAGCTTCCCAAAGGCACCAGCCGGGAACCTCAGGAAGAGCCCCAAAAGCAATGATGAGAATCTTCACACTCCTACATATTCCGGCCAGGGATGACTGCGAAGTATCCTCAACAGGGCATGCCTCTCTGCAGCCACCGCCTGTCGATGCTAGCTCGCAGAAGCAAAACGTGCCTGATAGAGAATATCCATCCAGGGGTGCTCTCCATCAATCACACTTATCACTTATCACCGTCTCACTTGGACTTCTACTATCAACCATGACAGCCGTCAAAAGGTTATTCTGCTATTCTAAATGGAATATCAGCATATTAGCACATTGCCCCGATGTGCATCTCATTTCCTTCCATGTGTCACTCGTTTTTGCCTCGTCGTTGTCGTTGATATAGGCCTCCTTCCCGTGGAGAGGGGGTCCTCTTCGTCCCACCCTTCGAGGCCGCAAGGGCCTCCGGTCCTTCATCGGCGATGCGGTGCCGTTCTTGACGCGTCTGCGGTACCCGCGCGCGCGCGCGCCGTGCGCGCGTCGTGCGCGCCGGAGCTTTTGACGTGAAGAAGGTCCAGTGGCCGTTTTCCCAAGTGGTCATCGTCGTCAAATCATCGCCTCGAACTTGTGAGAGAAGATCATTGAAGATCTATGTGGCAGATTGCCGGTTGGAGTGGGGATTTGAGCCAGGGACCTCCCTGAATCCAAAGGTCTCCGGATGAAAATGGTGCTGGTTGGCCTTGAGTGCGCTTGGAAGTCTATGGTGGGATTCTGATCACTTGGAACCTCGGTAAAGAATACTTTATGTAAAAAACCAGTGGTGACTGGTGAAAATGAACAATCACGCGCTTGGTGTTGATCACGAAAGGTAGCCCTTTAGGGGATACCTTGAGTTTGACTTGCGAAGCAAGTGTCGGCGAGTCCGGGTCTAATAATTGATCATTCAATTCAACCCCCCCCCCCTTCTATTGATTTTTCAATACAGACCCCGCCCCTTGGAATTGATTTTTCAATACAGACCCCCCCCCCCTCTAAATTCAATTCTCCGCTGGAGAACGTCTTCGTGAGCCTCTCATGATTTCAGGATAGTTGAAACCCTCTTGCCCTCTTGAACATTCAGAAAGAGTGCATATGAAATTCGAATTACGAAATGTGTTCTCGTTAAAATACCATTCTCTCCGGGGACCGTCTTCGTAAGCGTCTCTGTGTTCCCCGAAAGGATCGCAAGGTGTTACATACCTAGAGTTTATTTTCTTCTCTCCTGGGGCCTCTTAATTCAATTCTCTCCTGGAGCACGTCTTCGTGAGCCTCTCATGATTTCAGGATAGTTGCAACCCTCTTGAACATTCAGACAGAGTGCATATGAAATTCTAATCACGACAGGTGTTCCCCGAGGGGATACATACCTAGAGTTTGTTTTGTGAACCACGTCTATTCTCTTTTGGGGAACGTCTTCGTGAGTCTCTTCTGGTTTCAGAATAGTTTAAACCCTATGATGCTCCGATTCTATGCTCACCGATGATCTGAGCCATGGGGCGAGGTTCTTTCCCTAAGAACCTTTCTGAACATTTCGAGAGCATATGAGCAACGGCTTCTATTTGCGGTAGTGGTGATTGGTCTAGGGGCGTTCCTTTTCTATAGCCCAATGTCAGAGTTAGTTGGCGAAACGAGGTAGGAACACCCCGAAAACGAGATGGGCATCAAATGCGCCATTTGTTTGCAATGGTTTGGTTAATGACATGTTTAGCTTGTGAAACGAGGTAGGAAGACCTCTCGAGAACGAGATGGGTTTCCACTCACCAAAACGAAATACAGGCATGGAGACCGAGATCACACACCAAAAACGATGCGGGCTTGGAGACCGCTGCTGTGGCTCGAAGTATGCCACTCGCGTTCTCTTCTCTTCCCGCTGTCCTACCTTTCGTGTCTCCCTCCTCTCAAGTATATGTTGATATTGCACCGTACACATCTCCGTACATAGATTCTTTATAATAAGGTGCATGATATGATGCCCGTGTCTTTGTGTCCCATTCGCTGCCTCTCACCCGTGGGAATCCAGGTCCCATCCTTTGTGAAACTGGACTCCGATGCAGGCGGGACCAGCCCGCTGGTTTCAGGCCCTGACCCACTGGTAACGGTAGGGCTTTACAAAAACTCAAGAAGTAGAGAAGTAGACTGATCAAGGACATCTTCGAAAGCTGGAAGTTTGGAAATCCGATTAAGTTTGGGAGATCTCTTTTTGTGTGGGCTTCTGGGCATCAGAAGTTATACATTTTGAACTCGCTTCAGAACTGCGCTTTCAGGCATAAGGCACCTTTGAAGAAACCAGCCCGAATGCTGCCCATGTTTGCTGCACATGCATTTTCGATAGGGTCGGCTCAAAGTTGACTGTCCCGTGAGGTTTTAGACATGTCTCAGACCTTGCCGTCCACCCTGGTTAGCCCAACCACCAATGCATGAACCACAACTATAGCAATACACAAAGTGTAACATGAACTCAGATTACCGCGGCCGCAGTCACTAGGGTTGCAGTGGAGGGAAAACAGAGAATCAGGAGGAAAGAACATGACGTTTTCTGAGTGGGGCATGCAAGGGAAAAGATGTCTCACAATGTCTCACAGCCATCTTCAAGGCATCCGGCATCCCAAAGCCACCATCCGGCAGTGGACGGAACGCTCCCTTCTCACGGCACCAGCCATGGCCTTTGCGAAGCCGAGCCTGGAACGTCTGGAGACCAAGGCTGTAGAAGAGGATTCCAGGAGCATGTCGACCAGCGTTCGCGCAAGTCGGGCGCGTTTCCACCAGCGGTGTTGGAACATCCGAAATTCCTAAGGAGAAGAGGTTGCCACCTGCTTCTTGCTTGCTGCGTTCAATGGGGGTGTTGTTGCCTCTCCTGAAAGAGTCCAGTCATTCGGAGGCCCAGACATGTTTGTGAAGCTTCTTGCTTCTGACCTTGGAATATTGAGTGGAAAAATGTAAAGGGGCAAGTCAGTGCTTCCTGTGCATACCAATTTCTGAACTACGGCTATGGAACATGTTCCCCAATGTGGTCGATTGGTTTTTGGTATCATCATTGTCATCATTCATCACCAAAAGTTATCATTGGGGTCAACCATAGTTGACTGAGGAACGCCGTTTGTAGGTTCTACTCATCATTCATCATCCACTTGCTAAGTCGTCGTGGTCGTCCAGCGGGTGTTGCCGCTGCCAGGAGCAAGTCGACTCGACAGCAGTGGAGGTCGATGTGCTGCGAATGGGTCGTAACAGCATGCAACAGCCAGAATGCCGTTGCGAATCTGTAAAAGTATGTCAAAAGAAGCCACTTGCCAAGGGCAGATGATGTTTGCCATTGTTTATCGGCTTCTTGTAGTGCACCAAACAAGTTCTGCACGACGTGCCGACTTTGCTCGTTTTGCTGGCTTTGAAAGGGAAGACGATCCCACAATCAGATGAACCACCAGCATCTAGCAATCTAGCAACAGATATCCCTCTAGTACATGATGTGCATATTAAAACCATTTAAAACCATTTCACCCCCTCTATTCTTGCCGCATCATGAGAGCCTCTTCAGCGCTGAAACACGACCAGACGGACCCGAGCTTCAGGCACTTGTTTGAAGACTTCTGCACATGGCTCCGGGATCAGGGGCAAGAAGCTTGGCTTCTGCACGGAACTCCGCTTGGCTCGAAACGGTTGGCTGTCGGGCTGCGTGGAGAGGGTCGTGCAATGTCCAATTCTGCAAGGGTCTTTGAATTCCTCGGATCGGATAGGTTTGGGTTTCAGCTGACAATCGCAAGTTCGGAGTGTAGATTTGCAGAAGCACTACTTGATGGAATCTGTCTCTGTGCTGTCTTTCTTGGGCAGTGGCAGTTTGTGCAAGCTGCCGTGGACCTGCTGGAGAGGACTTGTGGTAGATTCTCCCCATTGGGGCCACTCATCAACATGAAATTGTATGTGTCAGAGAAGATTCGCCCCTCAACACACACACACACACCCCACAAATTACTTCTCAAATCAGGCGAGGCATTTGACGGACCACAGAGAGAGACACTTCCAACCTTCTCCAACAAAGACACCGCCCGAGAGCCCGAACCCAGGAATTGAACCCCACAGAGCTGGACACACAGCTCTCGGAGTACTTGCGAAGCAAGTACTTCGAGCGGAAACCGAGATCCTTCGCCGTGAATGCTGCTGGGCGCAGGACATCGTTCTTTTCTGGCGGCCAGAGCAGGTGCTGAGCAGGGTGCCCCCTCAAATTCGGAGCCCGCAAATGCTTGGACAGTCTTGGGATTTCAGTCCAACATCCATGCTGATGCCATAGTAACATAGTCTAAGTTCAACCAACCAATGCTCCAAACAATGCCAAACAAAGCACCAAAATGAGCTAAGTTGAACATGAAGGCCCGGAGTACGGAGCGGCTGGGAGATTGACTAGCAACGAGATGTACTTGTGTACTTGTACTTGTCTCAACTATAGTTAGTTTATGTTAGTTTGTTTGCACAGATGCGGTAACAGCCTCAGTCCATGTTGCACAGACCAAGATAAACACGAGAGCCCATGGCAAGCAGCCGCTTTGAAGAAACATGTCAGCATATGTCAGTCGTCTTTTCTTCGGGTTTGGCCACTTGGTCTGGTCGCTCATGCTCCTGCAAACCAGGGATGGTCCGTTTCCCCGTTTCCCCTTCCTTCGCTTCGTTGTCCTTCGGGGCGGAGGGAGTTCAGAACCGGTTTCGCAGCAGCTTGAGGTGGTGAAGGCGGTGAAGTTCGAGGTTCCTTCGGAGTCCTGGAGCTGAGTTCGAGGGATTGTGAAGTAATGCACTCTGTTCCTAGTAGCTTCTGGTTAGTAATGCCAGGAGCTACTTTCATAGCTTCTTGCTCCTGGTAGTGATGCCCTTTGTTACTAGCAGAGCGGTGTCAAAGGGAGAATTTTGGAGGGGATTTGGATGATTTTGCTGGGTAGTTGTGGCACTCGAGTGGTATTCTCGCCGAGGAGTTGGGGCGGGATGGGCTCTGGCGAGCACGCAGTGCTGTGGCACGCTGGGAGGCCTTGTCAGGACCATGGGTTGAGAGTGATGCAAGCAAGGCCCTCCAGGCATGTTTGCAGGCGCGCGCGGGACTGTGTGAAGAAACTGTCGCTCGCGAGTTGAGCAAGCAACTGCCTATAGCGGTTCAAGTGCGTTGTTTGGGGCACTTGAGGCTCGAATTGGATACTGTTGCGAGTTGAGCGAAGTGATTGTTGCTCATGAACAGCCCAAACTCTGCAAGGGTTTTGATTTTTGCTCGAGAACGTGGTTCGGCCAATTTGTTGGGAGGCCTTTGGCACTCTGGCTCTATGTCAATTTCTCGGCTCCTCCTTGGGCGTGTTTACCTTGCTAAGCCTGCGACGGCTCTTCAAGGGCATGGCGCCAGCGGTGGATTATGCGGTACAGAGGGTTTTCCAGCACATCTTTCCCAAGGCCGCAGGATCAGGAGGCAAGTTCCTTCAAGAGGATTTTGCCAACTTTTTCACTGCTCAGTTGAGCAAAGAATTGAGCGATGACGGGGAGCTTAAGGAGGAGGAGGACGACATCAAGGATGTGAGAGAACCTAGTCCGTCGATTCCAGCCCTTTATTCTAGGAGACCCCTGACCAAACATGGGTTGTGAAGCCTCCAGCCTCCCGAGGATCATTCCCTGACTAACTTCCAAAGGATGTGTGGGAGCAACCCCCACCGGTTTCAGACCTTTTGCCCAAGTTTCGCCTATGGAAAGTCAAAAGAAATGCTCATGTGGAACGTGAGAGCTAAGGAAAAACCAGGAGAAGAGGCCGAACCGAGGCCGCAGACGCCCAAGACACGTCATGCGGCGATTCTTGGGTGCGCTTAGCTGCTGAAAACCGGCAGCTTGTGAGAAGTTGTGTGTGTGTGTGGGTCCTTCTTGAAGTGGTTTTAGAGTCGACCTGGTGGTCTTGAGCGGGTTTTAGGGTTTAGGGTTTTTCGGTGCATTGGGGCTGGGGCGTTGGCGCACCCACCACCAAGCAGAGGCTGGCGGGATTGGTAGGTCACTTCGTCCATGTTTGGTGATGATCGATGAATAGATTCTCCCCCGGAGCTGCCGTCGGAGCCGAGCATGAACTGCTCACATGGATCACTGACCAAAAGCAATGGCCTTGGAATTGCCTGGCCCTGTGCACCTTTCGTTTCGTTTTTCCCCGAGACCTTTCAACATTTTTCCACCCCTTGGATCCGTGCCGTGCACGAACAAATCCCCCCGCTTCCGTCGCTTCCTTACGAAGCCGCCATGCCGGAGCCCGGAGCGGTGCTCCCCCCCCGGAGCGGTGCCCGTTTTGGACACGAGGATCCGCTTGGTGATCAAGAATTCGCCGGCACTCTTGCAGCTGGAAGTGTCCGGCTCTGCCGCATGGCAGGTCAATGGGCACCGTGGCCTAGAAGTGATGGAAACAATGGAAAGGGAAGTTGGGAAAGGAGTGTGTAATGTGGATATAGTCTGAATATATACTGTATATGTCAATGGAAGTGCGGCGATAGGTATATAATATGTACAGACAGTATACTTTGTGTGATGACCGCCAACTATTTGGCTCAAGTGCCCCTATTGGAGGAAAAAGGTCGCGTGCCCTTTTGATTCTGAATGGAGTACTGGATAGCTTTGTAAACCTTCCCGGTTACAAGGTTAATATCCACATGCAGGTTATCAGCCGTAGCCGCTTCGAGGTTACGAGCTTGAAAGAGACCAAAAGTGAAGATTGCCGACGTTTGACCTGCAATGTCTAGTTCTGGAGGAAAGAGAAGTGAACAGTTTTCCTTCGCTGCACATCGAGGAGCTATGTCTCAACCGTCGCCAGGATCATTGACGGGTGCAAGTTCAGCAAATGCTACAGCAATGACCATGCCGACAGGATCACAAGTATAGGCGAAGGCAGAGTCGCTCCACCGGAGACGACATCTGTTGGATCCGATGCAAGGATAATAGGCAACGCAAAGAGGACATTGAAGAGACTTACGAGATCAACATCGCCAAGAACGAACATGGACAGATCGCCAAAGAGAAGTATTGAAAGAGTTGAGACCGAAGACGCGAAAGGCATCGAAGAGAGAGAGAGAGAGATCCAACTCATTGAGAAGCTACGACCAGCCAGAGTTTCATACCAATATCTGAATGATGAATACAGTTGCCTGCACGATGGATATGCAAGATTATGCAAGACTATATTCTGAATTTGAGGAGAAATTTCGCAGCTGACAAGATGCAACAAATCTATGCACAATCACCTACAAGAGATGATGCAAGAAGATGAAGGAGCAACTAGTAGAATTGAGGAACTGGAACGGAAGCTCCGACTTGCTGAATCATTGGCAGATCACATATACTCAAAGTACCAAGAACTGCTCAAGAAAGTCATGAGGAACACTCTCAGCTTGACGAAGTGAGATCCAAGATGGGAGACATGACCCATGAGATGCAAAGTGCTCTTCGCTACATCCAAGAGCTTAAAATCAGAATTCTGACGCTGCCAATCGACGCGCCCACAGCCTACGTGAAGAGAATCTGGCAATCATCAATGTTGCGAATGGCCTTCAGGAACGAATGTCGGAACTGCAAGACGAGAACAGCAACATGTTGGAGGTGGCCCAGAAGGAAAGAGAAAGACAATGGAATAGTGAGGTACATCAGATGCAACTAGCTGACGAGATAATTAGTATCAAGAACAAAGAATGGTTGAGCATCTCCGAGGACAGTTAGCCATCGTCAAAGGATCATAACTTAGCGTAGCTGCAGAGATGAGTTCACGTGACTTTGATCAAAAGACCGAGATCCACAGGTACAAACTGGAGATCAAGGAGAAGGAGATGAAAACGCAACATTATCAATATGCCAACAGGGCATTGAAACGAGAGATTCTTTTGAAGACTCCCGGCCTTGATGGACAAGAAGGCGCAAGGATCAAATACAGGAACTTGAAGGGGAACTTCGGGCCTAGCACTGACCAAGGTCGTCTCTGATTCCAAAGAAGAAGGGAATAATGTTGCTATGAAGCTGACGACCCGTATCAATGCCAAGGGCAGGACATCCATGCTCCTAAAGGGGAGAGAAGAGAAGTTCTAGCGCTGATACTTCTCAACTTCAAGACAACATCCAACGTTGAAGTTATGTGTGCATCAATGCACTTGTACCAATTCGAATATCAGAGAGACAGGAACCTATCACTTTTCTTCCACACTTGGGTGAAAATTTAGCGTTTTAGCAGGAATGAAGCCATCAGACATCCCGAGCGATGACACTTTACGAGACCTATTGTGGAGGGAGATAAGGAACCCCAACCTGATGTCTTACGACATGCACGTACAACAGCCTGAATGAAGGAGATCCCAAAAAGTCGTATCAGAGCTTCTGTGACATCGTCCGGAGGCACATCGAAAGACAGACCACAGAAGACAAGATGCTCCTGGAAAAGGAGAAAGCTGTCAAGAACGCGTCCAACATCTTCCAAAGCCTCAAGCCAAGTGGCGCAGCACCTAAGGTGAAGGCTGCGCCAAGTGAGCCGAAGAAGAAGCCGAAACCGTCAGGGGGAATAGGGGAAACAGAAGAAGCGCCCTGAGGACAAGAAAGGAAAGGGTAAAGGTGACGGCAAAGATAGAGGCAGAAGTACAAGCGTAGACAAGAAAAAGATTCCTTGCAAATTCTTCGCCAAGGGGAATTGTAGCCAGGGAAAAGGGTGTCCATACAGCCACAAGAAGCCAAGAACCCCATCAAGACGTACTTCACCGAAACGTGAAGGAAAGGTTGCATGTTGGAATTGGATCAGAGGGAATTGTCCTAAGGGAAAGGAATGTAAATTCGATCATGACCCAAAGGCGGCGCCCAAGAAGAACCCTTCTGCAGCAGCCGACACTGGTGAGGATAAACCAAAGCCAAAACCTACACCGAAGCTGAAGCCGAAGGTGAAGCCTGGAGCGCCAGCAGTGGGGGACTCATTCTTGGAGGAATCCGACGATGAAGGAATCGCAGCTAGTGTGAAGGTGAAAGACATGAAGAACAGAAAGACAACATTTGATGATGACATCAGTGAGATCATCTTCAACGAAGCAGTGTACTCAACAAGGAGTGAATGGAAGCCAGTGATCAAGAAACCATTGAGACCGGACATCAAGAAATATGATACGTGGGAGGTTGCCAACCAGTCCCACCGGGAACAAAGCAGATTTGATGAGCATTCACTGGCTATTCTAAGAGTAATGTTTCAAGCCTTCAGGCTTGCATGAAGCCACCATGGTTTCTTTGTCTGCTCTGTCAGGCTCACTAGGCCAATGGATCTCAATCTGGCTGCAGTGATCTTCATCACATCCATGTAGAGGAGATGCCTCCAGTTACTCTCTGTGAGGTGGGCACTGATGGATGCCACAGACTGGGAGCCAGTGACTAGCTTCTGTGGGCCCTGTGAGTTACTACCCCTTTGACCACAATCTTTACTTTGTATGGCATCATTTCAATCTTCTCAACTTCGTCCATCAAATGAAGGTAGGCTTGGCAGGACAAGAATTCTTGTGCCTGCAGCCTGGCCTCCAGACAACCCCAAGCAGTATGAAGCATTTGGGAATCAGGCCTCTTCCTGCTCAGTTCTGCATAGCTATGGACCTCTTGCAGAAGATCTTCGGCCTTCCAAGCATTCATGCTGGCCATGCTTGTAAGCCTTAAACGTGTGTTTACAGCAGCTATATCACCACAAGCTCTCACCTATGATTCAACTTACCAAGTATGAACCTCTGTCAGTCGTAAGAGTATCATCACATGAACATTTTAATTTTGTAGTTGAGAAAGTCACAAGAGCTTCGGACTACCTCATGACGAAGATCTACTGAGAGTTTTTCCTGAGCGTGGCTAATTCGACCATCGTTCACAAATTCAGATGCGCAGCCAATAGGTCTACTCACACATTCATATGTAAAAATCCGCTTAGTTCCGTTAGTGTTGCGTAGTGCAGAGTCCATTTTGGCCTCGCGAATCAATTCGAAACCTGGTGCACAGCACACTTACCCTTGAATTTAATCGTCTGTATCCAAAGCTGAAAGCATGGGATACATGGGGGGTGTCAATGGAAGTGCAGCGATGGGTATATAATATGTCATGTACAGACCGTATACTTTGACCGCCAACTATTTGGCTCAAGTGCCCCTATTGGAGGAAAAAGGTCGCGTGTCCTTTTGATTCTGAGTGGAGTACTGGATAGCTTTGTAAACCTTCCCGGGTTCAAGGTTAATATCAACACGCAGTATATATATATATGTATATATTTATATGTATGAGTATAGTTTAGATTTTATAATATATATATATATATATATTGGTTTTATTCACTGGAGACTAGAGAGGCATAGAACAGTTAAGATTTGTGAGAAGTGAGAAGCCCAGTTCTCAGATTTCATTTTTCGGGTTCATTTCTGCTGTGATGTTTGATCGGTAGCAGGCGATTCTGTTCAGTTTTATTTGTCACCCCTTTCCTTAACCCAAAGGCTTAAACTAATATCCTTTGTGACCGTTTGAAAACGACGAGCAAGGTGCTGCGCCAACAATCACGTTTATTTTTTCACAAGGCATATGCACGGCTCAGCCAATCAGCATACTAGTAGTCTTCTTCCTTATCGATGCCCACATGGGGCTTCACGAACTTGAAGTTTGCGCTCATCCGACGCACCCGATACACAAAACTGTCCACCAATGCACCACACACCACAGACAGGGCCAGCTCATAATTTGAATGGTGTCCCAACGGCACGCAGTTCCAGGCATTTCGCTTTGCTTGGAGAGGACCATCTGGGACCTTCTTCTGCCCCAGTTGACCGAAGACGGCTTTCGGGACAAATTTGTGGGGAGAAGAACCTTCAAGTGACCTGACAAAGGACCCTGCTGTAGTACCGAACTGGGATAGTCGAACTAGGCTTCTTCAACCTCCGAAGAACCTTGGGGTGAGGCGAACAGATGCCCCGCACACCCCCGAGTCGGTCGAACCCATCTGCCCAACGGAAACCGCGCCGTCGGGGTCGGCCGTCTCGCCGCGGAACCTCCAACCGTCGTTGTAGTTAACAAGTGGTGGTCCGTCTCCAAGGCGGAAACCCTGTTGGATGTGGTTACAGAACACGCGTCCTCTTTGTGATTCTCTGGACATGGCAGGGCTATACAATCAATCATGCCTTTTTGCCGGTAGGCAGTGGATGTAAGTGACTGGCAGTGGAGTTGGAGTCCAAAGAGTCCGTGATTGCGGCGACAGGAGCTCTGTGACCTGAACATGGACACAGTGGGCCTGTTCTTCCGCAAAGGCGGTCCCAGCCCGAGGCCAGTTCCAATCCTGATTTTTCATGTTTTTCTCATCCTTTTCGATCGAAGATTCAGTCGTCTCCTTAAGAAGGTGTGTCTGGCGTGACTCACGCCGCGAGCAGTTCGGAATCCGGCCCGAGCAGTTCGCAAGCGGTTTCCCAGGAATGCAGATGAGCTGAATCTGCTGGATGGCAACAATCTGGAGACCTGCACGGGCGCTGGCTGCACGGGAGAGGTCGCTGCCTTGGGGGAGAGGTGGCTCAGCTTGTTTGGGCCTGGATGGGCCTGGAGAAGGATGTGAGCAGGCCAGTTCGAAAGGGGATCCTTTTGGAGTTGAAACACCCGTTTTGGTCTAACAGTCTAACATCGTCTAACAGCTAATTACTACCTGCCATTGCAAGAAGTCCTCATCTTCCCAAACAGCTTCGTGTGTGTCCATTTTTGCTGAAGGGATCTTAAGGGAGGACACTTTGCGGAACATGTGGCAGGGGGGGCCCGTGTATGCGTCCATAGCTCAGGTTGAGATGCTTCTTGGACCCCAAGCACGCACCAGATGTGATGGAAGTCTTGCACCTCATTGTGGACCAGATGTGAAGCTTCTTTTGTTTGCTGGTGAATCTCTTGCCCCCTTTTGCCACAAAACAGCTGCTTTTCATCTCGAAAAAGGACGACGGTGTCACAGTTTTTTGGTTCTCGGTTCCTCGTCCACCTGAGGAATTCCAAGACGTTGTCCACCATCAGCAAGCTTTTTCCGGATGGCAAGTATGATGTGGCCCTTCTGCAGGACGAGAGTCTTAAAGGCACAAGAGAGTCTGCGTTCGCGGGAAGTGTTTTCCAAGAGGCACACCCGCTGTTCAACACTTCACGTTTGGAGTGCATTGGACATTGTCCAAAGATCGTTTTTCACATGTCTCGCCTTCGTGCTCCCTATAGATCTCCCTGGAAGTCAAAGACATTAGACCATGTTTACGATCTGGTTGTGTAGTGTAAAACCCCTAGTAGCACAATGGGTGTTCGGTGCTATAAATAAAGAAAACTCTGGTGGGCCACGACTTCTAGGGATTTCGCTGGTGCCGCTGAACCGCGACGTCCGCGAGATGGCGGCACAGGAGACCTGGACAGCCTACGAGGAGACGGGGGTCTATGCGCTGGAGGAGACCAACTGGCTGAAGAAGATCCGTGGCAGGCCCAATGAGCTCTACCTGTCGGTGCCTGACAATGGCGAAGCTTGGCCAACAAAGAGAATCGTTTGTCACTTCCGAGTCAGCTTCGACTTCCAGGTCCTCGATCATCTCGATCGAAGAGTAATGGCACTCCAAACTAACATGAACCCGGGTCGAATGGCACCCTGAAAGGCTGTTTTTCCTCTACCAACCAGTGGTTTTTAGGGTGCATGTTAGTTTTCCACGGGGTAGACTTAGACTTAGTCGACTTAGTCTTATCACCTGTTTTGGACCTGGCACATTGGAAGAGATCCCTTTCGAAGTCCTGGTGCGAGGACTTCGATCCGGAGAATGTGAACCTCTTGCTGAAGACTCAGAAGCACTTGGATTCGAACAGGGTGGACTTTTACTCTCAGCCACCTGCCAGCTTGGTGCTCGCGAGAGTTGGAGAGAGAGATTTTGTGCAGGACACCCATGTGGGATGGGACACACATGTTCCACCACGAATTGCTGACAGTGTTTTGGATTAGGACATATATGACATTTCCATGAAGGGACCATGGCCAGACACAGTCTGGACATGCTGAGTGTTGGCATGAACTTGCTCCATGCTTCTTCTCCGTCTGAAAACGACCCTCCCCTCCTCAAGCAGTTTACAGTTGGGTTTTCTCTGTTTGGTGACATGAGGAGAACACCTGTTCTCCCTCCAGGTGTTGTCCTCTTCGGGGGCGCCGTCCTAGGACCATGCACCCGCAGGTCTGGTGACATGAGCCTGCCGGGTCTCCCCACCCGCGACGATGATTGCTTCTGAAACGGTTCTGGGGTTCTAGCACGAAAAGATGGGCTGTGCCAACATGGTACGACGTAAAACAATTTAGATCGGTGATTTCTTCCACCAAGAAATCCTCAGTGGTCAACGCCGGAGCGGAGAACGAGAATCGGATGCCTCGAGCCAGGCAATTCCAGCAAGCCTTGGCCGATGGAAGCCCTCGCCGACCCACGGTGCCTGGGAGGATGATCATGAGTTGAGAAACGGGAATCATGAAGCTGAAGAAGAAGAAGAAGAAGAAGAAGAAGAAGAAGAAGAAGAAGAAGAAGTTGAAGAAGTTGAATAAGAAGAAGAAGAAGAATAGTACTAATAAGAAGAAGCTGAATAAATATAAAATAAGAATACGAAGAAAACTGAAGAAGCTGAAGAAGAATACAAAGAAAAAAGATGAGAAGGAGAAGGAGAAGAAGCAGAAGGAGAAGAAGAAGCAAAAGAAGGAGAGGAAGAAAAAGAAGGAGAAGGAGAAGGAGAAGAAGAAGAAGGAGAAGGAGAAGGAGAAGAAGAAGGAGAAGGAGAAGAAGAACGAGAAGCAGAAGGAGAAGGATATGGAGAAGGAGAAGCAGAAGGATAAGGATAAGGATAAGGAGAAGAAGGGATAAGAAGAAGGAGAAGGAGAAGAAGAAGGAGAAGGAGAAGAAGAAGGAGAAGCAGAAGCAGAAGGAGAAGGAGATGAAGACGGAGAAGAAGGAGAAGGAGAAGAAGAAGAAGCTTGGCTCGTATGTCGAGCTCATTGAAGACTGAACATCCATCTTTTCCAGCTCTTCCCTAAGAATTTGTTCCAGTTCATTCAATGGGGCCAAACGGCTACCAAACATGACGATAATGATTTTGCAGGTGAAATGTCATCAGTAACCGGGGCACACCAACGAAGACCTATGTTTCAGAGAGTCACATATACTAGTTCGGTTATTTCTTTCGGCTCACGCAAGACGGCAGATGCATTGCCCAGTAGAGCGCCTTGGCGGTGCCCGGGCGGCCGGTTCTTGATCCCCGGACGTGCCAGGGATCGAGACACACACGCGAACCGGCTGGGCGAACGGGAGCATGCTCCAAGAAGGAGAGTCCTTTCCAAACCCAACCACATCCAACCACCTTTCGACGACTGCTTCAACGACTGCATGTCATGACGACCTGCTTCGAGTCGCCGCCGACTCGCCGCAGCAGGCACGAACAAGCAGAGACCGCTAGCGGTTCGTTCGAGAACCGCAGTTCGCCCCCCAGCCAAGAACAAACACCGGCAACAGATCGCCGTGTGTAAATACAAAATAAATAAATAAATATATATATATATATATCAATTCTACACTTACGCGACAGTACAAGGGTGAGTGGGTGGTCAGTGAGTGAGTGAGTGGGTGCCCACAAATCACATCAGCTGCCTTTTGAAGACTCGTCACAGTATCCACAGCACATCGTATCACAGCAAGAACCTTTCTCGAACGATCACCGATGTGCAGAGAACGCATGGATGCTACAACAGACATGTGCATGACATGTGCATGGTGCTCACAACGCTTTTCCTGCGGCCTACCGTATGTACCTGCGCACACTGGGTTCCAGCAGTGGTTTGGCACAGAACCGCCCATAAATAGCTAGGAGGTTTTCCTATTAGTATAGATGTGGATGCATGATGAACGACAGCACGACACGCTCTTGTCTCCCTTTTTTGGTGGTGACGAGGCGCTCATCTTCGACTTCTTCAACCACGGCGAGATTCACGCCGTGCAGCCCGACGAGCCGGACAGCGTCCGCGGTCCTGGGGGTCGTCGTAAGCAGAAGAGAGCGGCGGAGGCGTGCGACGCCAAGTACATGCAGAGGAGGATGAAGGCGCCTCGGAGGCCCTCTCGAGGTCGGACGCCTTGCGCTTGCAAGTTAGATTGAGGCTCGAGGCCAACGGGGGAATGTTCAAGAATGGCTCAAGGCCAACCGGTCAAGAAGGGACTGTTGTTTCTGTATGTTTCTGTGATGGACTTGCGTATTGGGTAAAGGATGGTAAACGAATGCAGACGGAACCATCTACTTGCTCGGGCATGGTAGGGCAGTCCCTGAGAGGTACCATTTGCTATGGGTGCGGTCGCTGTTGGCGCACCTGTGGAGTTTGCTGTAGGAGTCATTTGAGCCAGGCCCATGAACCCCAAAACATGGACGCCGGTCTTAAAAAGAACCAGCAGCATCCATCAGCATCTTCCCAACATCTTCCCAACGTCCTCCTGTCGGGAACAGCAAGCACAGGCTTGCTTCCGTGTGCTTTGGTTAAGAAATCCTGTATGCTTTGGTCGGCTCAACACTTAACCCATCCTGTATGCCTAGGCCTTCACACGCCCGCACCATGCCCAAGGCATGGATTCTGCTGGATGGACATCATAAGGTGGAGGCCGCAGCGCGCCTGGGCTGCTCGGTGAACTGCCTGGTGTTCGCCCCGTGTGCGGAACCCTATGAGCCCATCGAGGCGGAGGAAGAGTGGCGAAGCGGCGTTCAGGACATGTGTGCAACTCTGTGGAAGTGCAGCAGGATGTTTGGAGATAAAGTTCTGAAGATCTCAGAAGTAGCAGACAGACATCAGTAGCTGAGACATCAGATAAGTCAAGCAGAGTCCGGCAAGACCATGAAAGAAGGCTTATTTGCCCTTTCCCCTTCTGGAGCAACTATTATCCCAGTTCCTCAAGCACCTCCAATTCAATCGTTGCAGCGACTCCCAGTCAGCTTTACTCCCAGTCGGCTTCCTCGCTCCCCAACGGCTCGGGTCACGCTCCCAACGGCCGTGACCCGCTCCGCTCTGGGTCACGGGCCCTCAGGTCTTCGCCCCTCTTGGCGAAGAGCGTTTGCTTCCCCGACTTGTGGCCGGCCGCTGGGACGGGCGTCACCCTGCATAAGCACCGGAAGGGGTGACACGGCCAAGGGCTGACCTGGGTGACACCAAGTGCGCTGAAACATTGGAAGGTCCATCATAGGAGGGACGACTTTCTACAATTAGAATAGGGTTCTTCAGTGAGGGGGTGGCGCGGGATGGTGCGGCTTTTGAACCAAGAGAGAAGACTAGCTACTCATGCCACATGGCTCCACCAGGCAGCTTCAAAGCTCTTCGGATTTGTGCCTCTTCAAGCCCACACCAGTGAGCATCCTCTTTGTGCGCATGACGGGATTTCTGGGCCTCCACCAGGTGCGTGGCATTTCTTCCGTTGGACGTCACCCTTTCTGTTGGACACTCCATGTAATATATGGAACATATACTTGTGGTTTCACTCGTGAAACCACCCCAATGTAAGCAAATATGGATAAATATGGAGTGTTTGGGCATGGGCACGGCACAGGTCCGCATGACCACCCGTTTGTAGCGAGCTGACTGGAGTTCTGCTGCTGCGGATGCTGGTCTAAGGACGCGCATGGGGTTCCGCAGGCCGTGTGGGAGGCACGCAGGTCGCTTGGATTTGGCTGACACATGTGGCAAGTTGAAGCTCGCTGGTTGGTTGTGGAGACATCATCCACCGGACTGAATTGCTGTAGGCGGCCAAGCTTTGCCCTCACAGCCCCATGCTGCTGAGCAGTGGCCATATGCCTCCTGAGAAGTGGCAAGATGCTTTGGGATGCACTTGTTTTCAGGAGGCGCCCGAGTGGTTCCCAAGCTGGGGCTGCTTGTTTGTATGACTTCAGCAAACCTTCTTTGGAATTTCCATGGTGGCGGGGGCTTCTACACTTGACCATTCTCTTCATTCCCCTTGCTTTCATATATGCTTATTGATGATTGAACGCAGTTGTTTCCCGTGTTTCCCGCTGGAGGTATTCCTCTCCAATTAGACACCTGCCCTGACTGACATGGAAGTCAAGTCAGACCAGGCTACGCCGTCCTGCAAAGCATGAGTACGAGGGGCGTCCATCCAGGTAGCTTGGCAGAAGTTGTGCAGCATCATTTTTCTATCCAGCTACAGGTCCAATGATAATGCTTGCTTGCTTTTCGATGCTGTTTGCATCTTTTTGCTTTTCCAAAGCTTGGGGTATTTGGAGAAGAGTTTCTCTCATCAGTTTGCTCGATGTGTCCGAAGGGAGGGTGGAAGATTCATGAAGATTCACAGAGATTCAGAGTCAAGAGTCAAACACTTTTTTGATCTTCGCCCGAAGTCGGAGGGCTAAGAGGGGCGTTGGCCCGCAACCCATTCAGAACAGAGAGCCTCAATGAGCCCTACCAACAATGCAGGACGCGACCCTGTTCAGTTCATTGCTATGAGGGGCTAGTAGCGGCTAGTAGCCCATTGCGGAAGTTTGGGGAGTGTTTCGGCACTGGGCGACCACCCGCCTAGTACCAAACACATATGAGCGGCATGTGCAATGGATTGTCTCAGTGATTGTCTTTTTTGTTGCATTTTGGAAGTTTCTGGGTAGTTGCAGACACCTTGAGATTTTTCTTGTGGCTAGACTCTCCTAGAGCACCACCAAAGCCAACGTTCAATCAGGTCAGGAACTTTGCTGAAAGACTGAGTGGACATGAATCGGGAGATATTGGAAGAAGCAACTTTATTTTATTTTGCGTGCACTTACCACCATAATATATATATATATATTACTACGGCAATCTCCGATATGTCTATATATATATATAATATATATATTATTACTTTGTTCGGGGTGCATGTTTGTGCGATGCTGTGCTCTTTTGCACATTACTGCACGCATCTCTTGGCTTGCTGCCGTAAGGATGCCCACGCTTTTACATGGACCGGAAGAAACATGGTCGGTTGAAAACGGATCTGAGGAAAGAAAACGCTTTGCGAGAAGCTCCGGAAGAAATTCGGCCCAGAGCATGAGCTCTTCACCGAGCACTTCCGCTCGCGCATGTGCGAGCTCCCTGAACACCTGCTAATCCCCTTGTGGTCCCTTGGTGAGTTGTGACCAGATGTGACGCTGTAAGATTATACTAAGGGCCCCCTAAACCGGTGGTTAATAGACACCCCAAAACCTTTAAGGAGCGGACACACCGAAATTTCGGGGGCCCTGGTATGTGAAGTATGGGTTTCACGGCCACTTTTAGGCCTGCAAATTCGCCGGCACCATGAGTGATCCGCACACCGCCCAGTCCCGCACACCGAAAAAAAAGGCCGTGCCGACTGTCTGCGGGAGACTTTGCAGGGTCTCCATGCAGAGAGAGATCTCGAGATGTAAAGCATGCCGTGCCGAGGCTCAACCGAAGGTCCGCTAGCCGCTCGCCGCTCGCTGAAAGGCCATTCGAAGAATGGTTGACCTGGTTTCGTAGTCTCAAGTCCGTGCAACCATGGTTCTTTTGGTACAGACCCTGCAAAAATCGTGGCTGGAATCCCCCCTGTGCAGCTTCAGAACCTTCGTCCGACTCGAGTCATCGTCCGGCGTTTGCACGGCTCGTCGCATGGGAGTGGACGTCCTCGTCCACTTGGTTTCGATGGATCTACGGGATCGATCGACTGGCCCAGTGCAGAGCAGTTCACTTGTTGGACCCACGGATGCTTCGGGGCCTGTTTAAATCAGTACTCCAGACACGACGATCCATGGGACTGCCATGACGGACGGCCGAGAAAGGGCCAGGGCTGGTGTTTGGGGGGGTCAATGGGGCGGCATGTACGGCAGTCCCAGACAGGTCGTGT